GGAAGGAAGGAAGGAAGGAAGGAAGGAAGGAAGGAAGAAGATAAACGAAGAAAGAAGAAAAAAGAAAAAGAAAGAAAGAAGAAAAAAGAAAAAAAGAAAGAAAGAAAAAAGAAAAGAAATAAACTCTCCTATCTTAATGCCTTCAGCCCCATGAGCTGATAATCTTCATGGAAAGAATAGCTTCTCTTATCACAGCCATTCTTTACCCTTTAAACAACACCAATGTTTCTGAGAGGTAGGTTGGACACAAATCCAAATTAAAATATGAAATGTTCCCATCACTATCTCAATTACCCACTCTCTAAGGCTATTTTTGGCCCACAAAAGTCTGACTTTAACCAGTGTAGAAGGAAGGAAAAAGGGGAGATTGAAGTATATTCTACAGGAAAACTGAGCAAAAATAGGAATATGATTCTACTTACAAATGTGTATTTAAGGTGAGTTGATTTATTGAACTTGTTCTCATTTTTCAGCTACCACTACACAATCAAAGTGGAATGACTACTTCTCTCAGTGCCCCCCAAAATACAAGCAGTACTGCCTCAATGGGAGATGTCGCTTCGTGGTGGCCTTGCAGACACCCTCCTGCCTGTAAGTGGGGTGCCCTGAGCCAGCAAGCAAATGGGTGCAGAATGGTGCTGGCTTGGTCCTCAACAGGACTGGAAAGTCTGAGCTAGTGAAGCCATCTGTCAGGACACAGTTCCCGCTGGTCCTGGCCCAGTCACTTGTTTAGGGGGCCCTTTGGCAGCTACTCATGGAGAAATTGACACACATCCAAGAGTTCAGATTTGCTTGCAGGCGCGACTGTGTCCTCTGCTGCCTTACATAAAGCAAAGCTGTTTCTGTCCAGTGTTAAGGATGCTTTTAAAAGCTCAATTCTTCTCGTATGTGGTTTGAATGGAAAGGAATTCTTCTGATATTAGTTATGTGGTTTGTAATTATTTTAAATATGACGGAATTTCTGCCAAATTAAAAGCTTCTTTTGCAGGTGTCAATGAAGTACATGGAAGCCAGTTGTATTTATAAATAGAGATTTTAAAGCTTGTTTAGTAGACCAGGGAATTGGGAGAAAAGTTCTCTTTCCAACTCATAGTAGATTTAAGAGTTCAAGTTCAATTTTACTCAGGCATTTACAATCTTTTTGCATATTTTAGATATTCTTTTTCTCCTACAGTGATGTCCCTCTAAAGTGTCCTGAGACCTTACCTCATGGAGCAGCAAAGCAATTTTTAAAGTGTAATTTTGACCTTAAGTTTGTAGAATGATTATATTCTGCATAATTCCCCCAGTATACATTTTTTAATAAGTATCTCAGAATGGTAGCTCCAAACTCAATTTAGTTGAATGTTTTAGAGTTACGGATGCCTTCAAATATTAATTATATTTGAATTTAATTTAAAAAATAAATATATTTGGATAATACATAGAGTAGAATAACAATTGTTAGTATAAGGAAAGAAAGAAAACGTGCCTTTGTACATGTTGGGATAGATAGAGCTGATATATATTTTTTTTAATTTCATTTAATTGCTCACTAGCTTGGAAGAATATATTGAGTTCTTAAAATGTTAATGTCCTTTAACCTAGCACATTTTTCTAACTGGTCCCAATCTCTGTAGATTTATTGTTCTTTAATATTGCTGCCTAATAAAATGAAAACCATAGTGTGTAATCTACCTGCTTATGATCAATCAACTCTCAACCTGTCCCCATTGGTCTGAGGTGAAAATTTACTTCTTTGGCCTCCATTGCGCATGGCTTGATTTTCTAACCCTATCTTTTATTATAGACCCAAATGTTCCTCTAAAATCCTACATTCCTATTCGTGGTTTATTATGCAAGTTCTTCTCATACTTTGCAAAACTTATTCTTAGTGGTATTTTATGATGCAACTCAAACATTAGATCTTTCTGGAACCCTGCATTAACTTTCCTCCTCTCATACACATACAAGTGTGAGGTAGATGTCCTTTTCCTGAGATCTAGTCCCACTTCTGTGAAAATGCATTTCTTATGCAGCATAGATGTTGGTTTCTTTTAATGTCCCTTCTGTGACTGTCACACCTACAGGCAGGGCACATAGTTTATTCATTTTTGTGTTCCAGTGCCAAGCACAATGCCTAGAATTTTCTAGATGCTCAAGAAATGACTGGTGAATAAGCGACTAAGTCTCTCTATCATGGTCCCTCTAATGCTATGCTGTGTCAAAACCAAGGCCTTAATCTGAACCAGGAACACGTTCTTAGTAGTGGAACGATACAGAGTCAGTGGGAGGTGGAAAAGCAGAGGGG